TAATAGTTTAATTATAAAATTATTTAAAAATTTTAATAAAATTTTATATTAATTTATTTAAAATTTTTAAAATTTTTTATTATCCATTATAATATTTTAATTACCAAAACTTTTAATTTTATATTAAATTATAAAATATTAATCATTAAGTTAAAAATTCTTCTCAAATTAAGCGTCATCTCTTAATTTAATATTTAATATTTTATAATTAATACCATGCACTCTTTTTTTTTTTTTAACAAGTTATTAAGAGGCAAACGAACGAAACTTGTGAATGAAAGAAAGGGAATGCATCTCAAGTTGATAAGACGTGAGTTAATTTTTAAAATGTACCTCAAACTCAAACTAACAGAATAGTTGACCCAAAGGCCAAGTGAGATGCACTCTAATCTGTAAATTAGTTTATATACTAAAAACAAGGACACAAAGTCACGTTACCTGACCAAATTAAGAACCAAAGTCTCAAGGTCATTAGTTGGTGAATCCCATCTTGTTGGGTTGAGTAGTAATTTGCAGAGACGCCGTTCCGGAATTTACCAAAATACTAGTATCACTTATTCTGAACACCTCTAAATTGAACAGTTACAAACAGTGCTGGAATAATTAAAAACACGCTAGGAAATTAACACAATTGGAACCAACATCATCACATCAGTGAAACAAAAATAAAAATAAGAGCCCAAATTCGGATGTGACAAATCTAATGACATTGGGGTTCGTAGGCTACTGGGCCGACGGTGAAGAGCACGAACGGAAGCTTATTCGCGCCGACGTAAGGCTTCTCCGGCCTCAATTCGGCCCCCGAATCCCCACCGTGGAGAGAAGACGGCTTGCTGCATTTTGGCAATGGAGAAGGTCCGAGGAACACCTTGCACTTATGAACCCCATAGTTGGTGATGGTCTTGGGTGCTTCTAAGAAAAAGTAGCCATTTTTGTCGGTTTTGGCCGTGACCACTACAGGGTATTTGGTGTTATTGCACTGTAGCTTGACAATGGCACCTGTTGACATTGCACAGTGTCAGAGTTAGAGCTGTTAAGTGTTGTCATTTTGCTTTTGAAAATGGGTAACAGAGAAATTCAAAATTGTAGTAAATGGGTTCAGATTCTCTAGTCCAGCATGTAAGAGCGTTATGCACGTAATCCTTTGATGTTTTGAATTCCTAGAAGAAAGGGCCCTTGGTGGTAAAAAATAAAGAATAAAAATGGAAAAAGTAAAGCTTAACTCGAGAATGACGTCTCGGGCTTAATAGAAAGAGAAAAAGGAAAAAGAAAAATGCATTTCTCTCCCTCTTTATCTCTCTAATAATTATGTCACCCTTCACGCATAATGTACTAGCATGTATGTATGTATGTATGTATCCATGTATGGATAATGTACTCGCATGTATGTATGTATGGATAAAATGCATACATTTGTAGCAGCATCTAACTTGATTCAAGTTATGGTGCCATAGAGAGATGATAGCACGCATCATGGTTTAGTAACTGTTGTCAATACCCCCTTTGAAGGATGGAGGGATGGATGATATTATAATGTCTACAGATCTATGCATAATATAATTCAAGCATTGCAAGAATTTAAAGATTAAAAAAGATGAAAAATTTTTGAGTTTTTAAGTTAGCTAGCTACTAGTATGGATGATTAGGATTTTTGGACTGACCGAGAACGGGGGTAGCGCCGTAGAGAGTTTCAGCTCCGGAATACTTGCAAGACTTGCAGTAGACAACTCCCTGGACTGCCACAAGAGCCCTGGGAAATGGGTGAGGATGGAATGGTGGGTGTGCTGGTGGATAATATGGTCCTGGTGCGGGCTTTGGTGGACGGGGCTTTGGTGGGTGGACTGGTGGTGCAGGGTGGACTGGGGGTGCGGGCTTGGGCGGGTGAACTGGTGGAGCAGGCTTTGGTGGAAGTGGCTTTGGTGGTGGGTGGGCTGGAGGGTGAGCTGGCGGGTGGCCATGGTGTCCGTGGTGGTGAGATGGTGCTTCAGCAGGAGGGTGGTGGTGGTGGTGATGGTGGTGAGGGGGATGCGCAGGTGCATGAGGTGGCAAAGCTGAAACAAGGCCATCAACCTCCGCAGAGAAACTGCCCACAAAGAGCAGAGAGAGCTGCAAAAGCACCAGGGCCTTGCCAAAACCCATGTTTTTTGTTTTTTTTTTTTTCTTCTTCCGAGGCACAGGGAGAAGTGAAGAGAAGAATTGCTCAAACAATGATATTTATAGAGCCTAAGCCGCGATTCCCTGCGGTTTTTGTTGATGAAATCTTGCTTTAAAATAGGTCATGGCCCCCTGGGGTGGGGAAATAGGGTGACTAGAGTCACTAGACCATTCCAAAAAGAGAAGAGCCTAATTGTATATTAGTAAAAAATTGATAGTAAAAAAATGGTTAGAGCTGGAGTTCATTAAAAGGCCAACTGGAATTTTGCCCCCTTTTTTTTTTTTTTCCCCCTTTTGCTTACAGCTGGAATTTGTCTTGGTAGAACATTATGGAGCCTTTGAATTGAATTCAGGATCATAAATAAAATAGCAGAAAATAAATGGCTTAGGGCTTCATATGCAGAAATGGAGGGAGAAAGTTTTGAACTTTGACCTAATTGGAATTTTGCACAGGCTGCAAGGCAAAGCGGAAGTTCCCAAGGACTCCGAGAGTTGAACCTATTTGGGTAGTAGTACATTTTTTTTAAAAATAAATGATAACTTTTAATCATATATTTTGTTGAGTTTATTTATTCTATATCTTAAAGTATAAAATTATTATTAAATAATTTTTATTTTGAAAATAGTAAAATTTTATATTAAAAAATAATTTTTAAATTTTATTTTTAAATTAATTAATTAAAATCTAATATATGATAGTTATAATTAAAATGAAAAATTAACTTTATCATTTTCAAGACAAAAAAATAATTATTATTATGTAATTAATGTTTCTTATAGTATGCCCTTAGATTAGCCCTACTTTGTTTCATTAAAAAATGAGGAAACTTTCTATCTTGTACACTTTAAAGCATTGAATATGATAATAAGAATGTCATAAATATATTTTTTTATAATTAATTTCTATTAAAAATATAAATATTGATTTTGATTTAATTAATTAATTAATTAAAATTATTTATGTGTCGATAATATTAAAAAATATATTAACTTTTATAATTTTTAACATAAATTAATCATAAAAATATATATTTATTACACTTTTAATTTATATCTATAAGATACATGTTTAATAAACCCAAAAATGAATTTTTTTTTAATAACATATCCATACTTAATTAAACTTTTAAGTTTTTTTAGGTTTGTTTTTTTTATCAATTATGGTTCTTCTATTCCATGAACATGGAGAGAGAAGGGTATAAAGCAGAAAGGGTGCTTATCCGTTGAATGAACATGGAGAAAAGAGTAAAAAATAAAAAGGGCTAAAAGTAAAAAGATTAAACAAAGGAAGACTACCAAATGATGGGATTCTAAGCTCAGGTAGCTAGAACCTAGCAAGGGAAAATATTGAAGGTTGCAACTTACAAGGACTTTTGAAGTTTTCACCCTCTCAATTACTCAGACTAGTCCTTTTCTTTTTCTCTTTTTATTTTTTCTTTCAAATCCTTCATGACTGAAGAGTGAAGACAAACATATACGAACAACTTTTGGCCCATCCTCGAACGGTCACTGCCCCCTTTGGTTTGCCTTTCATTTTCTCTAATTAATTATAATATAATAAGGAAAATGTTTTTTATATAATTTTTTTATTTTATCTTTTTATACAATTTGACGTATCATTTAAATAATTGATTTTTTTAATTCATGTGAGATATGTGATATTGAATGCATCCATTCATTTAATAACATATGAAAGTTATATCAAAAGATAGTATAAAAAATTTGACTTTATAACACCACCCATATAATAATTAGTACATTTCTTGTTTTAATATATTTATTAAAAATGTATTATTTTTAATTTAAAATTTAAAATAAATAAATTTAAAAATACAACTATGCATATAAAATGTAAAAACCGAGTAAATTATCTATACTTATATTATATTTTTAACGATTGAATTAAATAAATGTAAGAAAATGTATCAAACCAAATATGTACTAATAATTTCCCTTATTCAAAATAAGATTCCTCTTTTGCAATTTGGATTGCAAAAGATGACTATTGCATATGGAAACCACCTCATATCTAAAGGCTTGTCCCATTCAATAGTTTAAATTGTGTAATTTAATGTAGTTCATACTAT